AATAAAGAAAAGAAAGGATGTATACTGAAACTGCTGGTATTCCTAACTTTTGAAGAAACCTTAGGAATTGGTTTAGCCTCAACTGCTCTTGGTTTCTTATTCTTCACCTCTTGGGCACTTGGAACATTTATTAAATACAGGGATACTCCCATTGTCAAAGCCAACAACCGGTCCCTCACCTACACCCTTCTTGTCTCTCTTCTGCTCTGTTTTCTCTCCTCTTTGTTGTTCCTCGGCCAACCTGACAAGATGACCTGCCTTCTCCGACAACCAACTTTTGGCATCACTTTTTCAGTGGCCATTTCTAGTGTACTGGCCAAAACCATCACTGTCGTTGTGGCTTTCATGGCCACTAAACCAGGGTCTCAAATGAGGAAATGGGTGGGGAAAAGATTGGCCTTTTCTACTGTACTTTGCTGTTCTCTCTTGCAAGTATGTATTTGTATCCTTTGGTTGTCAACATCTCCACCATTCCCTGAGTTGGACACGCATTCAGAGCTCCAAGAAATGATTTTACAGTGCAATGAGGGGTCAGCTTTCTTTTTCTACTGTGTCTTGGGCTACATGGGCATCTTAGCCATTGCCAGCTTTATTGTGGCTTTTCTTTCCCGTAAATTACCTTACAGCTTTAATGAAGCCAAGTTCATCACCTTCAGCATGTTGGCTTTCTGCAGTGTATGGATTTCTTTCTTTCCAGCCTATCTGAGCACAAAAGGCAAAGCCATGGTAGCTGTGGAGGTCTTCTCCATCTTGTCCTCCAGTGCTGCATTACTGGGATGCATATTTTTGCCAAAGTGTTACATCATTGTTTTACGGCCTGAATTAAACTGCAGGGAGCAACTCATAAAGAGGAATTAACACATCATGTAATATTGCTGGCTTTGAGAAATTGCTGATAGAAAAAGAAGACAAAGACTGTTTGCTGTCCATAAGAGACATGTAGAAGTCATTATTTCTGACAACACTGATGGAGAATTATCCTGATCATTACAATTTATTATGGTTGCCAATTGCAAAAGAAATGCTCTTGCTGCTGCATTTGCAATCATTCTCCAAGATTCTTCAATTGAACACCTTCTGTCTTTCAAGATAGCAAGACATTGAGAATCCAGATGTCTTGTTAGGAGATTAGAGATATTGAATCAGATCGTATCCAATGTTTGTAGTTTACTTGTTTATTTGTTTAGAAAATTTATATAGCCCCCTACTCACACAGTGACTCTAGGAAGCTTACATGCAATAAAATACAATATAGAAATAAAAATAAAACAATAACCCCCATGCCACTCACATGGTGACCACACACAGTCAAATAAGCCATTTGATCAGCTCCATTCCACTCTATGTTCCCCAGACCCACTGACAAAACCAAAGAGTGTCAAGTTTCTGAAGGGATGATATTCTAAAGGGAGGGAGTCAACACAGAAAAGTCCTTTCTTCTGGGTCCCGCCATATGTACCTCGTTATATGATAGGACATTGTCATAGTTATGGTTTTATGTTTTCAATTCATAAATATAGCAAAAGGGGAAATCAATTGATGAACATGTATTTAACACGGTATCAGAGGATATCTGTTTTGGATTGGTCTGGGGTCTTTGAAATGTGAATATTATAGAGTTTCTGAAATATAAATGCATTTTTTTAAAACAATCAAGCTCACTCTCTATTCATCAATCTATTTCCACTATAACTTATTTTTTTAATAATGCAAAAAGAATTAGTGAAAGGAAATTAAATGTATTCTTACTTCCATCTCATCCTTTACAAGAAGTTTATGCTGGCCAATTGCCATCATAAAGAGTGATTTGATTTGATCTTTTCCAGTTTTAGCTTTATCATTTTTGTGTCAAGGTTTCGACTGATGATCCCAACAAAATAAGCACAGCTAAGACTTTCCAATCTCTAATGCAAAACTTTATTGAGCACACCATTTCGGCACATATGAATAGAAAACCAGCTCTGGTTATCTGGTGCCAAAATAAGTACATTAAAGTATAGAATCTCCCTCCCCCCCTATTAGGTCACATTATCCAATAAAGTGTCAGACAATTGTTATGAGAGAGTGTTTCAGTTCTCAGTAAACAGTTCTTGGACAACCTTGGTTCTCACAGCTTGGCAGTCCAATGTCTGAAACCTGCATTTCATTTTTCCTTCCCCCCCCCCCCCGAGTTTGTTGGCAAGTTAAAAAGCAGTAATGGATACAGAAGCATAAGCATTCTTCACAGCTTGACATTTTGATTCTTTTAAATAATTATTATAGAATGATTTTAACTAATGATTGTCTTACTTGTGTACTGGATTTTTGCATGCTGTCCAGAGTCACTTGCCACCAGATGCGCAGCCACATGAAGTTGCTAAATTAATAAATTAGTTCTTTTAATAACTAATTTATTAATTTAGCAACTTCATTTGGCAAGTGACTCTGGACAGCATGCAAAAATCCAGTACACAAGTAAGACAATCATTAGTTAAAATCATTCTATAATAATTATTTAAAATAATATCATGGCAATATCCATTAGAAGTGGAGGTATGATTAAATATAGTTTTATAAAACCTGATTAACATGCAGCAACCATCCTTAGAATTAATAAACAAGATCCTGATGTTTATGTAGATTTTGCTTCTCAGGATCAACAACTAACAATAAATGTCTAAGGAGATTCTTACTCATCCAGGTCATGGTTGTCCCAAAGGTGATTTTTCAAAAGGCAACTGGACTATCTTCATTTTTCCTTGAAGATGTTTCACTTCTCATCCAAGAAGCTTCTTCAGTTTTGACTCTGACCAAGAACCAAAGAAGCTGTTTGGATGAGAAGTGAAATGTCTTCAAGCAAAAACAAAGAAAGTCCTGCTGCCTTTTGAAAAATCACCTTTGGGACAACCAACAACAAATGAACCAGCACTCAGGAATTATGTTGTAAGGTAAGGTAGCAATGAAAGTTTCAGAGAAGACATTCAAGTGTCCTCATGTGACAATATACATGAAGATAAGGATTCCCTGGAGGAACACACAACCTACTGAAACACAGTCAGGGAAATTCTGACAGTCACACCCAGCAACCACAATTTTTCTTTTCTTTGAGTATCAGTTCAATATTTCCTACTCTGGTATGTGGCTTTGGAGTTCCCTGCTCAAAAAGGATTCCTGCACTCACTCAAAAGTGAGATATTTGATCTGAGAACCAGTTGGGTATATCTAGTCTAATGAAGAGAAGGACGAGGGTGACATGACAGCAGTGTTCCAATATCTCAGGGGCTGCCACAAGGAAGAGGGAGTCAAGCTATTCTCCAAATCCCCTGAAGGCAGGACAAGAAGCAAGGGATGGAAACGAACCAAAGAGAGAAGCAACCTAGAACTAAGGAGAAATTTTCTGACAGGTAGAACAATTAACCAGTGGAACTACCTGCCTACAGAAGTTGTGAATGATCCAAAACTGGAAGTTTTTAAGAGGAGACTGGACAGCCATTTGTCTGAAATGGTTTCAGATTTGACAGTAGTTTGGTCTAGTGATTTATGCACCAGGTTAGGTTAGAAAGTGGGAGGCCACCTTAGCCATGAAAAACAACTGGGTAACTTTGAGCCAGTCATTCTTTCTCAGCCGAACCCACTTTCTTACTGTGCGAGGAAAACAGGAATTACATAATAACAATGTTGGAAGAGACCTTGGAGGTCATCTAGTCCAACTCCCTGCTCAGGCAGGAGACCCTATTCCATTTCAGACAAGTGGTTGTCCAATCTCTTCTTAAAAACTTCCAGTGTTGGATCACCCACAACTTCTAGAGGAAAGTCGTTCCACTGATTAATTATTCTCACTGTCAGGTAATTTCTCCTTAGTTCTCAGTTGGTTCTCTCCTTGATTATTTTCCATCCATTGCTTCTTGTCCTGCCTTCAGGTGCTTTGTGGCTGCCCTTCAAATATTGGAAGATTGCTATCATATCTATCATATGCTATCATATCATATCATATATCATATCATATATATCATATCATATATACCATATGTTATCAGAGGAGGAGGAAGATGTGTAAGATATCCTCTCTGCCTTATTTGTTAAAATAATACAAGTCAGGACACAAATAAATAAGTGAAAAGGAAGTAAAGATTTGATGGAGTAGATTATTAAACTCAAGGCAATGGCTAATGCAACTTTCCAAATATGAGTATCAATGTTATTATCGTTTCATTCTTCAACATTCTTTGACTGAATATGTGGATAAAACCTCCAAAGAAATTATTAGCTTATTTGTCAGTCCTTAATATATGTAAAAATGTTTCCTCTTCTCCATTAAATTCATTTTATATGGGAAATGGGAACCTTGCTCCATTTAAGAAATGAACATGAACTTTAACACTTAAGGCTATTTTTAATTGCCAGTGTCCCTTAGATTACTTTTATTAGCGTTTGATCACTTTTTTAAAAAAAGTTGAACCATCAGTTGAACCACTTATTCCCTCATCAAAACCAAAATAATTATGTCCTACAGGAATCACCATATTTTTTTTTAGCCAGTCCAAAACATCAAGGGCTTGGCATAAAGACAATTTAAATTCAGCAACAATTAAAGTATCAATTTGGATATAAAGTAATTATTGAACTACAGGGAGATTGGCACAAAGGGATAATCATGGCTCTGTCAGATTCATTGCTACAAGTTTCCTCCCACCTTTCTTCCTTTCCAGAACATCTGTACAATCCAAGTGATAGTCAATATACACATTTGCACTCACATGGACCTTCAAATATAAATGATGGAAATTCTGATCAGATGCATTGTCAGGTATAAACCTTGGATTAATCATTGAATGAACGACTAAAATACCTACTTCCTTATGGACAGAAGACACATATATTTTCACTATGACAACTACATTAAGATGTTGTTCCTTTTGATGCTCTTTCTGCAAAATATAGTTATTCTGAGCTGCCCTGTGAGTGATGCTTTCCCTATTCCCCATGAGTGGTACCAGCCTGGTAACCTCATTGTCGGTGGGATGGTGTCTCAGATAATTTACCACTTTTTTGAAATTGAATTTAAGGAACATCCTTCTCTAAAACCTTATGATTTACCACTGTAAGGATTTTTTTTCTTCCCAATCATTTTTCTAATCTTAGGCAGATCTCCCGAAATTGCTTACATGACTAATAGCTCTTTGAGAACAAATTCAAGGTTTTGTATATAAACTAACTCTTGCTTCCTTGTCTTTCAATCTTATCTGATTGTGGGGAAAAAAAATCATTTTCTTTTCATTGCATTAAAGTCTTACTCATGAAATGTATGAAACTATAGTGCAAGAGTACATTTAGTGAGCCTAAGATAATTAAAATTATATCACCTGCACAGTCACTCCTCACATAACTTACATACATTAAATGAGTGCTACTTGCTGGCTGTATTCTATTTTGTGCCGAACTGATAGAAATAAATGTGATAGTTAGAAAACAAAATCGCAACTTTGTTGTATATATATTTGTTGCCAATCATGGAAACCCTGTATATAGTTGAACACTATGCAAATTATTGAGTGTTTTACAAAGACTCTCATCTTACTTACAATAGAAATAGAAATGGTTGCTACTTGTACATCAATGCTTTCACCATAAAAGAATTGTCAATTTAATGGGGGTGTTTAAACTATTTGCAGTGTAATAACTAAGTTCTACCAGCACATTCTTGCCTTGGCCTTTGCTGTGAAGGAGATCAACGAGGACTCCCAGATCTTACCTAACGTCACTCTTGGATTCCACATCTATGATAGTTACCACAATCCAAGGATGACCTATCGCACTACTCTGGACCTGCTTTTCAAATCCCAGGAATTTGTCCCTAACTACAAATGCAATAGCCGGAAAAATCTCATAGCCATCATTGGAGGATTAGGTTCGGATACATCATCTTATATGGCAGAAAGTATAAATGTCTACAAAATTCCACAGGTAGTTTGGGATGGAGTAAGAGAGAAAATTCTTTTGTAATTAATAGTAGATACTTGTTGTTTTCCACACCTTTCTGCAACATTTCAGTTAAATTCACTTTCCTTTCCTTTCTGCTGTTTTCCCCAAAACTCTGGAGGCTGGCTCCAGGTAATCTAATTAAACAAATCAACTTATTTTATTACAAACATATATGTGTTTTGATTGCCATGTAGCAATATGTCACACTTCTTCGTGCTACAATTTGGTTGATATGTGATAAAAGTAGTTTAGTGTAAAACTCAATTGTTTTCAACAATCCTGTTGTTGAAGGATTGATGCTATAGGGTTATTTAGTATTTTGCCATGTCTTTCTGCAACACTTCATTTTTGCTCTCTGCTCTCCCTTCTGCAATTGTTCCCACAACTCAATAGGTTGGCTCAAAATGATCAATCAAGAAAATCAAAATCTTTTATTACAATCATTGATTAGAAAATTTAAATTTAAATCTCAAATTACAGTATAAAATTTATCTTACTTGAGAGGGTCATCTGATATTCTGGTTTGACCACTATGTGGTGAAATCTGGAGCAATAGCTAGCACACACAGCATAGAACATAGAATAATGGAGTTGGTAGGGACCTTGGATATCTTCTAATCCAACCCCCTCTTTCAGCAAAAGACCCTATACTATTTCAGATAAATGATTGCCTGGTTTTTTATAAAAAGCCTCCAGTGATGGAGCATCCACAACTTCTAAAAACAAGTTGTTCCATTGGTTGATTGTTCTCACTGTTAGGAAATTTCTCCTTATTTCTAGGTTGCCTCTCTCCTTGGTTAGTTTCCATCCATTGTTTCTCGTCTTGCCTTTTGGTGATTTGGAAAATAGTTTACCTCCTCGTCTTTGTAGGAACAGTTCAAATATTGGAACACTGCTGTCATATCTCATGGTTTAGGCAAAATCTCCTTTCAGCCACTTCTTGCCCATCCCCAATTCATGGTTACACAGCATTTTCATTGCTCCCCTCAACTCAGTTCCAGATTCCACCAAGCCATCCAACAATGGGTGACAATTCCCTTTGCTATATCTAGGTTGCAGTCTTTCATTCATAAGTTCTATCTCCTACAAATAAGGGAAGAAGATAATCCAGTATGTCTAGCTCTTACGAAACCTTTCCGTAGGCTCAGAAGAGCTCATAAGCTCAAATAGTTAGAAAGTTTCCAGGTGTTCTAAGGGGACAAACATACTGAAACTCTATATTAGGAAATTGAGTTTGGTTGTAATCTAGTTATATTTCAGATGAGAAAATATTTCATCATGGGATTTTAGTTGCTTCTCTTGTTCATCAGAATTTCATAATCTACCTAGAATTGGAGAAATGTTCAATGTAGAGAGACCTTCATTTTCTAAATAGCAGTCTTTTTCATATTTTTCCCATCATTTTCATGAATAATGAATTTCTCTTTTTTGTTTGTCCAGCTTACTTATGGTTCCTTTTCCCAAGAAGATTTTCAAATTAATAAGTTATCTCCACTTTATTGCATGGTCCCAAAAGAGGACCATCAGTACATTGGAATTATACAACTTCTTCTCCATTTTGGATGGACATGGATTGGAGTCTTTGCTTTTGAAAATAAGGGAGAACATTTTTTGAAGAACCTGCAGCCATTGCTTTCACACAATGGGATCTGTTTAGCTTTCACACAAAAAATTCCACAACATATGTACTTAGAAGACTTATCCGAAATGTCTAATTCAATCTCAATTATTTCTGATAAACTGGTAGATCAGAAAGCAAATGTTTTTCTTGTCTATGGAGAATCATTCACAATAGTGTGGCTCAGAACTATCATGTTTCTACGTGATCCTGAAAATAAAGACAGATCATTATTCAGAAAAGTTTGGATCCTGATGAATCCAATTGATTTCATACTGACAGGATTCCACGGGGGCTGGGATATCCAGTTGTTCCATGGGGCTCTTTCCTTTACAGTGCATTCAAGAGAAATTCAAGGCTTCAAAGAATTTATTCAAGTCATCAAACCTTCAACTCACAAAGATGGATTTCTTCAAGAAGTTTGGGAGCAATTGTTCGACTGTTCACTTTCAAATGAAGAATCACCCTCTGTGTCCAATGAGACTTGCAGTGGAGAAGAGAATCTGGAGAATCTGCCTGCACCTCTGTTTGAATTCCACATGACTGGCCAAAGCTACAGTATCTACAATGCTGTTTATGCAGTGGCACATTCTTTGCATGAGGCAATGAGATCAAAATCCCAACCCAGAGAGATTCAAAGGGTTGAATTTCCAAATCTGCAGCCTTGGCAGGTAATCTTTCCATACCACACCTATCTTGCATTTCAATTATCATCCACAATTGTCCACCATCTAATATAGCTTTTTTGTCCTGGTCTGTGGCCATAAATCAATAGAGAGACTGAGGCAACAAAGCTACTAGTGTCTCTCTTTTTTAATAAGTTTATAGTTTTATCATAGAGAATAAAATATAGAACTTTAAAACAAACAAACAAAATGTAACAAAACAAAAATATACATTCAACCCTAAACACCACAACCAAAAAAAATAGTGCACAAAAAAGGAGGAAAAAGTGATCAATTAAATTTAACCTTTAACATGTAGGTTCCAAGAAGAAAAGGCAGTCAACAGGTTGAGCTAAATATTACACCAATCTTCAAATTCCTCTGTTAACCATCTGTTATTATATTTAGCATGTAGAAAGTCCACAAACATTTTCCAGTGTCTTATATAGCTGTCTAGTCCAGTATCTCTAATCAAAGTGGTCTCTTTTATAAAATAAAAGAGGATGGACATAAACCATGTCTTTACTAATTTTGGTATAATCAGTGGGATGTATACATCAACTTTCATTGTATAAAAAAACTTTTCACCTCCACATAGAATTGGCCTCTCTTGTAAATTTATCCAACCTGGTTCTAAGAAGAATTAAATTGTCTTGTGTCTGAAGGCAGCCTTTCTTTTTCTGTGCCCCAAAACATTTCTGAAACGTAGACATTTCACTTTTTATATTAGCCGGTGAACAATTATTCTTATCCAAAATTATCCTCAGCCGGTTCCCTTATCTACTTCTCTTTGGCTCATGAACATTTCAGAGTTGAGATGGAGAGCATTCTCTCGCTCTATCAGTGTTCAAGAGGTATGGACCAAACATCAGTCTTTTTCAGCTGCGGCCTCCACCCTTTGAAACAACTCTATGTTTGAAAGAGTTCTCTCTCTCTCTCTCTCTCTCTCTCTCTCTCTCTCTCTCTCTCTCTCTCTCTCTCTCTCTCTCAAAACAAGGAAATTTGTCAGGTCTTCACTGTACTAATGAAGAGCAAAAAATATAGGATGAATTTAGATATGGTCCAAATTTGATTGTCTAATTGTTTAAATGGTGAATATAAATCATATCTAAATCAAGTTGTATAATGTCAATAATTTGTTGTGATTTTCATTTCTTAACTGCTTTTGTTTCTTTTTTCCTTGTAAGTAATATTAAATTAATAATAGAACAGACCTGTGTCTTTCTCTGAAATATAGATTATCTATATTCTAAGTGTACTTATTTGATATTTGTTAGAGCAATGGGAAGAAATAGTAAGTGAAAGTTAAATAAACTGGCCACTTTTTCATTATTACCCTTTCATGATTCCCCCTCTCTTTCATTCTCTTTCAAGTAGCTCCATTCATTTCTTCAAGGCATTTCTTTTAACAATTCAGCTGGAGAGAGAGTCTTCCTGAATGAGAAAGGGGAAGCAACAGGTGGATTTGACATCACCAACTTGGTCACTTTTCCAAATAGATCCTTTCAGAGAGTTAGAGTTGGAAAAATGGATCCTCATATTCCCAACAGGAAGGAATTATTCATCAATGAAGAGCTGATTATATGGCACCCAGCTTTTAACCAGGTGTGGGTCATTTAATCAACTATTTGATCTGTTATAATCCAATATTGAACACAGTCTCTTTAGAAATCTAATTTGTATTTTTTGAAAGAAAAATGGCATATTCTGTACAAATATTGTCAACGATCAAGCATTCATCAAATTGACAAAATGACATTGTAATGTAAAAGACAGTTTTTCATATTTAGGTTTTATTTTCATTTGTAATCACACATATTTCAAGAGCCCTGGTGCACAGTGGTTAGAATGCAGTATCGCAGGGTACTTCTGCTGACTCCTGGCTGCCAGCAGTTTGGCAGTTCAGTTCTCATTGATTCAAGCTTGACTCAGTGTTCCATCCTTCCAAGGTCTGTAAACTAAGGATCCAGATTGTTAGGGGCAATATCTGTAAACCGCTTAGAGATGGCTTTAAACCACTGTGAAGCAGTATATAAGTCTAAGTACTATTGCTTCTGCCCTTCCTTCCTTCTCTCCCTCTCTCTCTCTCTCCCTCCCTCTTCCTTCCTTCCTTCCTTCCTTCTTTCCTTCCTTCCTTCCTTCCTTCCTTCCTTCCTTCCTTCCTTCCTTCCTTCCTTCCTTCCAAGACAAATGTGCTCTTTGAATACCTTTATAATATCAACATTTTAGTGGTTAAAGATACTGAGCTTGTCACCTGGAAAGCTGAGAGCCAGGGTTTGAGACCTAAGGGCAACAAGGTGAGCTCCCATTCCTGCCTCAGCTTCTGTCCACCTAGGAATTCAAAAGCATGCAAATGTGAGTAGATTAATAGGTACCACTTTGGTGGGAAGGTTAAGTGTTCCAGGGGCCTTTGGCATATAGTCATGCGGGCTACATGACCATGGAAAATGTCTTCAGACAACATTAGCTCCCTCGGACAAGAAATAGAGATGCCCACTGTGCCCTAGAGTCAGACACATCTAGACAGGGAAACCTTTACCTTATAAATACACCTGGACTAACCCTTTAGGAATTCAAATATTCTTCTCTCCCCCCCCCCATTATAAAGGAGAACAATAAAAACTGCTTAAAATTTCCCTTTGCAAAATCTTTTATATTTATCACCAGGTTATTCCATTTTCTCAGTGTAATGACCATTGCTACCCTGGATACTGGAAGAAAGGGTTGGAAGGAAAACAGTTCTGTTGCTACAACTGTGTTCCTTGCCCAGAAGGGAAGATTTCAGATCAAAAAGGTAGGTTAAACATTCCAGCAACTTTTCATTCAAACTGTAATATACTACTGTATTGTAACAAAGAGTATTGGTAGTTCTTCAAGGTGAATATTCATTACTATACCTGTGAATCACAATCTGTTGTTCTAAATTCAAAGGCTGCCCATAAGAGCTACACTTTAATATCCATCCTCACAGATTTCTTCTCCATGTTTAGGAAAAATGGGAAAAGTCTAAATGGTTTAAATGTTTATAAATTTGAAAGTGCTGCACAGAACTCCATTTCATAGAATAATTGCTCTTCCCATTGTACTTCTTTTATGCTGGTCCCAACTGATACAATGATGCAAAAACTGCATTTCCATAGAAACATGATCCAACTGATAACCAATAGAAAACCTGAAAGGGATAACAGTTGGCACCCATAAAGAATATTATTTTCAAAAATATGGAATGTATAATCACATGCCTTGACTTTTCTTTCAAATATGGATGACTGTTTTCAATGTTCAGAAGATCATTATCCAAATAAAGAAAAGAAAGGCTGTATTTTGAAACAGATGCACATAAATAATACTTCTATGTCTTATTCAAGACAAATATTCATTTTTATAGCTGTGATTCACAATCTATTGTTCAGATTTCAAAGTTTGTCAATACACTCTGTTACTAGAGACTTACATATATCCTCATGGTTTTCTTTTCCATGTTTTGGACAAAATGTGAAAACTCCAAATGGAAATTGTAATAAATTTTAAAATGATACCAAGGGTTGCATTCCAAAGAATAATTGTCCTTCCATTTCTGCTTTCTTTTATGCCAATCCTACATTTTCCATTTGAGGAAAAACTGAATTTTCATAGAAACATGATCGATCTGGTAACAAGAGGAAAGAACTCAAAAGGAACAACAACTAGCCACCATTGAGAAAGTAATTTGAATAATATGGAATGACAAATGATGACAAATTCCTTGATTTTCCTTCCAGATATGGATGACTGTTTCGAATGTTCAGGAGACCATTATCCAAATAAAGAAAAGAAAGGATGTATCCTGAAACTGCTGGTATTCCTAACTTTTGAAGAAACCTTAGGAATTGGTTTAGCCTCAGCTGCTTTTTGTTTTTTCTTCTTGAGCTCTTGGGCACTTGGAACATTTATTAAATACAGAGATACTCCCATTGTCAAAGCCAACAACCGGTCCCTCACCTACACCCTTCTTGTCTCTCTTCTGCTCTGTTTTCTCTCCTCTTTGTTGTTCCTCAGCCAACCTGACAAGGTGACATGCCTTCTCCGACAACCAACGTTTGGCATCACTTTTTCAGTGGCCATTTCTAGTGTACTGGCCAAAACCATCACTGTGGTTGTTGCTTTCATGGCCACTAAACCAGGGTCTCGAATGAGGAAATGGGTGGGGAAAAGATTGGCCTTTTCTACTGTACTTTGCTGTTCTCTCTTGCAAGTATGTATTTGTATCCTTTGGTTGTTAACATCTCCACCATTCCCTGAGTTGGACATGCATTCAGAGCTCCAAGAAATGATTTTACAGTGCAATGAGGGGTCAGCTTTCTTTTTCTACTGTGTCTTGGGCTACATGGGTATCTTGGCCATTGCCAGCTTTATTGTGGCTTTTCTTTCCCGTAAATTACCTGACAGCTTTAATGAAGCCAAGTTCATCACCTTCAGCATGTTGGCTTTCTGCAGTGTATGGATTTCTTTCTTTCCAGCCTATCTGAGCACAAAAGGCAAAGCCATGGTAGCTGTGGAGGTCTTCTCCATCTTGTCCTCCGGTGCTGCATTACTGGGATGCATATTTTTGCCAAAGTGTTACATCATTGTTTTACGGCCTGAATTAAACTGCAGAGAGCAACTCATAAAGAGGAATTAACACATCATGTAATATTGCTGGCTTTGAGAAAGCTGATAGAAAAAGAAGAGAAGGTCTGTTTGATGTCCATAAGAGACATGTAGAAGTCATTATTTCTGACAATAGAGGACTGATGGAGAATTATCCTGATCATTACAATTTATTATGGTTGCCAATTGCAAAAGAAATGCTCTTGCTGCTGCATTTGCAATCGTTCTCCAAGATTCTTCAATTGAACACCTTCTGTCTTTCAAGATAGCAAGACATTGAGAATCCAGATGTCTTGTTAGGAGATTAGAGATACTGAATCAGATTGTATCCAATGTTTGTAGTTTACTTGTTTATTTATTTAGAAAATTTATATACCCCCTACTCACACACAGTGACTCTAGGAAGCTTACTTGCAATAAAATACAATACAGAAATAAAAATAAAACAATAACCCCCATGCCACTGGCCTGGTGACCACACACAGTCAAATAAGCCACTCCACTCTAAGTTTCCCAGGCCCACTGACAAAACCAAGTCTTCAGAAGCTTACAAAAGAGTGTCAAATTTCTGAAGGGATGATATTCTAAAGGGAGGGAGTCAACACAGAAAAGTCCTTTTTTCTGGGTCCCACCAGATGTACCTCCTTATATGATAGGACCTTGCCATAGTTACCGTATATTCCGGTGTATAGGGTGACCCGGCGTATGAGACGACCCCCGAGTTCACCGCCGAGTTGCAAGACGATCGACGCCGAATCGCATGCCTAGAAAGTCATCTTATACATTGGAAACTACCATTATTTCCGCCGTATAAGACAATTGACGCCGAGTCGCATGCCAAGAAATTCATCTTATACACCAAAAACTACCTTATTTCTGGCGTATAAGACGACTCGGTGTATAAGATGACCCCCGAGTTCGGCGCCTGTTTCAACGCTCTCAAAAGTCGTCTTATACACCGGAATATATGGTATAGTTTGTATGTTTACAATTCATAAATGAATTCATAAATATAGTAAAGGGGTAAATCAAGTTATGAACATGTATTTAACACGGTATTAGAGTTTTGGAATGGTCTGGGGTCTTTGAAATGTGAATATTATAGAGTTTCTGAAATATAAATGCATTTTTTTTAAAAAAAATCAAGCTCACTCTCTATTCATCAATCTATTTCCACTGTAATTTATTTTTTTTAATAATACAAAAAGAATTAGTGAAAGGAAATTAAATGTATTCTTACTTCCATCTCATCCTTTACAAGAAGTTTATGCTGGCCAATTACCATCATAAAGAGTGATTTGATTTGATCTTTTCCAGTTTTAGCTTTATCATTTTTGTGTCGAGGTTTCGACTGATGAACCCAACAAAATAAGCACAGCTGAGACTTTCCAATCTCTAATGCAAAATTTATTGAGCACACCATTTTGGCAAAGATGAATAGAAAACCAGCTCTGGTTACTTGGTGCCAAAATAAGTACATTAAAGTATAGAATCTCCCTCCCCCCTATTAAGTCACATTATCCAATAAAGTGTCAGACAATTGTTATGAGAGAGTGTTTCAGTTCTCAGTAAACAGTTCTTGGACAACCTTGGTTCTCACAGCTTGGCAGTCCAATGTCTGAAACCTGCATTTAATTCTTCCTTTTGCCCCCCCCCCTCGAGTCTGTTGGCAAGTTAAAAAGCAGTAATGGATACAGTAGCATAAGCATTCTTCGCAGCTTGACATTTTGATTCTTTTAAATAATTATTATAGAATGATTTTAACTAATGATTGTCTTACTTCTGTACTGGATTTTTGCATGCTGTCCAGAATCACTTGCCCGAGATGCGCAGCCACATGAAGTTGCTAAATTAATAAATTAGTTATTAAAAGATATTAGATGGTCTTTGGCAACAGCATAAATAGAAAACTGGCAATATCCATTAGAAGTGGAGATATGATTAAATATAGTTTTATAAAACCTGATTAACATGCAGCAACCATCCTTAGAATTAATAAACAAGATCTTGATGTTTATGTAGATTTTGCTTCTCAGGATCAACAACTAACAATACATGTCTAAGGAGATTCTTACTCATCCAGGTCATGGTTGTCCCAAAGGTGATTTTTCAAAAGGCAACTGGACTATCTTCATTTTTCCTTGAAGATGTTTCACTTCTCATCCAAGAAGCTTCTTCAGTTTTGACTCTGACCAAGAACCGAAGAAGCTGCTTGGATGAGAAGTGAAATGTCTTCAAGCAAAAACAAAGAAAGTCCTGCTGCCTTTTGAAAAATCACCTTTGGGACAACCAACAACAAAAGAACCAGCACTCAGGAATTATGTTGTAAGGTAAGGTAGCAATGAAAGTTTCAGAGGAGACATTCAAGTGTCCTCATGTGACAATATACATGAAGATAAGGATTCCCTGGAGGAACACACAACCTACTGAAACACAGTCAGGGAAATTCTGACAGTCACACCCAGCAACCACAATTTTTCTTTTCTTTGAGTATCAGTTCAATATTTCCTACTCTGGTATGTGGCTTTGGAGTTCCCTGCTCAAAAAGGATTCCTGCACTCACTCAAAAGTGAGATATTTGATCTGAGAGCCAGTTATGGTATGTCTAGTCTAATGAAGAGAAGGACGAGGGGGGAAATGACAGCAGTGTTCCAATATCTCATGGGCTGCCACAAAGAAGAGGGAGTCAAGCTATTCTCCAAATCCCCTGAAGGGAGGAGAAGAAGCAACAGATGGAAACAAACCAAAGAGAGAAGCAACCTAGAACTAAGGAGAAATTTTCTGACAGGTAGACCAATTAACCTGTGGAACTACCTGCCTACACAAGTTGTGAATGCTCCAACACTGGAAGTTTTTAAGAGGAGACTGGACAGCCATTTGTCTGAAATGGTATAAGGTTTCCTGCCTGAGCAGGGGGTTGGACTGGAAGACCTCCAAGGTCCCTTCCAACTATTATTATTATTATTATGGATAATCGCACAGTCAGCCAGACGTTCAGACTGGATTTAGCATTTTGTCTACCTATCGAGTCCTTACCAAGGACCTGGGATAGGCAGATGTGGATGTTTGATGGTATTACAGATATCGTCGCAGGATGGAAGCAGTTCCTAGTAAGGCTGCCTTTTGCAATTGACTAAAAGCAAATTTGTCAATGCCAATGGTGTTCAAGTGGTGCTTCAGTTATTTTGGGATTGCACCCAAAGAGCCTATCACTATTGGTACTACCCTTGCTTGCTTTTGCCACAGTCTTTCTATTTCTATTTGTAGGTCTTTGTATTTTCTTATCTTCTCCAGTTCTTTCTTGATTATTCTGCTGTCTCCAGGCACTGCCACGTCCACTATCCAGACTTTTTTGTCTTTCTTATCGACAATTGTTAAGTCTGGGGTGTTATGTTGCAGGTGCTTGTCTGTTTGAATTCTGAAGTCCCAGAGCATTTTAATTTTATCATTTTCTATGACTTTCTCTATTTTATGATCCCCCCAGTTTTTATTATTTATTTATTTATTATTATTGTTTGTTTATTTATTTATTTTATTATTATTATTTATTATTAACTATTATTCTTATTATTATATTTTGTTATTGTTTTTGTTGTTATTATTATCGTTTCAGATTTGACAATCAGTTTGGTCTAGTGATTTAGGCACCAGGTTAGGTTAGAAAGTGGGAGGCCACCTTAGCCATGAAAAACAACTGCGTAACTTTGAGCCAGTCATTCTCTCTCAGCCCAACCCACTTTCTTACTGTGTGAGGAAAACAGGAATAACATAATAACAAAGTTGGAAGAGACCTTGGAGGTCATCTAGTCCAACCCCCTGCTCAGGCAGGAGACCAAATTCCATTTCAGACAAGTGGTTGTCCAATCTCTTCTTAAAACCTCCAGTGTTGGATCACCCACAACTTCTAGAGGGAAGTCGTTCCACTGATTAATTATTCTCACTGTCAGGTAATTTCTCCTTAGTTCTCAGTTGGTTCTCTCCTTGATTATTTTCCATCCATTGCTTCTTGTCCTGCCTTCAGGTGCTTTGTGGCTGCCCTTCAAATATTGGAAGATTGCTATCACATCTATCATATGCTATCATATCATATCATATATCACACCATATATATATCAGTGATGGCGAACCTTTTAGAGACCGAGTGCCCAAACTGCAACCGAAAACCCACTTATGTATCATCAGGTGCCAGGTCGGTATGGCCCATTGGCTGGGCGTGGCCCATTGGCTGGGCGTGGCTGCAATGGTAACAGCAGACTGGGTGGGACTAAAAAGTTCAATCAATCAATTCCAACTTTGCAAGAACTTTTTTCCCCACAAGAAGTTGAAATTGACTGATTGATTGAAACTTTTTTTTTTTTGTACATGGCAACAGAGGCCTAAAGGGAAAAAGTTTATAAAACCCAGCTGAAGGCCTAGGACTGGGACGGAGCGCGTGTGCACAGAGAGGGCTCTGAGTGCCGCCTCTGGCACCCGTGCCATAGGCTCACCACCACTGATATATATCATATCATATCTACCATATGCTATCAGAGGAGGAGGAAGATTTGTTAGATATCCTCTCTGCCTTACTTGTTAAAATAATACAAGTCAGGACACAAATAAAATAAGTAAAAAGGAAGTAAAGATTTGATGGAGTAGATTATTAAACTCAAGGCAATGGCTAATGCAACTTTCCAAATATGAGTATCAATGTTATTATCCTTTCATTCTTCAACATTCTTTGACTGAATATGTGGATAAAACCTCCAAAGAAATTATTAGCTTATTTGTCAGTCCTTAATATATGTAAAAATGTTTCCTCTTCTCCATTAAATTCATTTTATATGGGAAATGGGAACCCTGCTCCATTGTAAGAAATGAACATGAACTTTAACACTTAAGGCTATTTTTCATTGCCAGTGTCCCTTAGATTACTTTTATTAGCGTTTGATCACTTTTTTTAAAAAAAGTTGAACCATCAGTTGAACCACTTATTCCCTCATCAAAACCAAAATAATTATCTCCTACAGGAATCACCATATATTTTTTTAG